GCTATACGGTACAGGGGTAATTTGGGAATTACATATTGTACTGCAGGGCTTACTCTAGGATTATAAATAGACCTGTTTGTAATCCTAGGTCTGTGAGAGAGCTGAATATTCTATTCTGTAACCCTTTTCTGAATAGTGAAAGGAATCGCCGCTCTGCTCCCGAGGATGTAGGCATCTTTGCCGAACCTCGTTAAATTTCTGTGTTCTTCTGGATTTGTGTCGATTACAATTTTTCTTCTCCCTAATTTTCTCAACAGTATCTATTGAGATACAATTAGTCACCCTAAGCTTTGTGTTAAAGCAAAAGATAGCCCCTATCAAAATGATAATATTAGCCATTGATGATTCTATTGAAGTTTTCTAAAACACATATAATTTTTTTTTAACAGAATATTCATGGGCATCCACATAACTATAATTAATCGGAAGGATATGTTCATTTTGAGAGTGCTCGTGCGCTCATGACAAATATAAGAGATATTTACAAATTGATTATCAATTAATATGTGAAAGATTTTCTTAAGTCTTTTTCATGAATTTCTGTGGGTGAAATTAGTCTGATCCTTTTTTATATTTATTGCAAACTTTTCTTACGAAGATGATATTACGAGTTCTTCATCACTTTTAGATACTGTTCTTGACAACTTGGCTGACAAAACTTCGCTCTCTTTTGATTTCCTAGCAAGTGGGGAGATTCTCGTTCAATTAATTTCTTTTACAAAAAGGTCGCAAAGCCGCAAGTAAGACAAATCGGGTCGCACCATCCTAGAGTACCGGCAAGTATTAATTAGTTAATAAGTTGAAATTTGCATTTTCTAAATTATCATTTCATTGAATATAATTTAATGGACGCTTAACTTTTATATTCAATAGAATACGTGATTAAATATTAATAAGGGATTTGACTTGAGATATTATAATCATTCATAACTTATTTTTTGGGTTCATTGATTAAAAGATAAATTTTAGCACAAACTAAGGATTTTTTTACTATTCTGAATATAGTTATAAAATAATGAAGTTATGATTATTTTTGATATGTCATACATAAAATTTTATTATTTGACATGAATTTTGAGGCGAATTTTGAAATAATTTTTTATGCAAGAAATGTTAAATTTCAATTTTGAAATCATCCACAATTTTGATTGCAACAAACTTACAATCAAATTGACCGACTTGATGTAACAAACTCTACGACACTAAAAATGATATAATCTGAGTTAAACAAGTCTGGTCAATTAGATGGTCAAATGAATTCCAAATATGAAGATCTTATAGTCAAATCGAGCATCTTAATGAGTGAAATCCAAAAAAATCCAAGACCACTCAATTCCAACATTATTAAGACAATCAAATATTCATAAAATATTATCTGATCGAGAATCTTTCTGGACATATAGATAGAGTGGTCTGGATTTCTTTCTTATTTGTAAGGGATA